CAGCAGACCAAGAAGTGATTTAAAGATGAAAATGTACCAGTGAGAGAATCTGCGTGAAGTTAATGATGTCCAGTTAACCAGTGAATACAGGGTGCAATGGTGGGTACGATAATCACATGCAGTTATGAATCTTAGTGCACCATCAGCATCCAACATCTGCAGGGTTCTTGTAGGAGCGTTCATATAAATAATGTCACCGTAATCAATTGAGGGAAGGAAAGTCACAGATACAAGGCGTTTTCTAGCATTCAGGGTTAGACAGGTCTGTTTCTGAAAAAGAAACCCAGTTTAACTTTCAGTTTCTTTACCAAGTTTTCCACATGGAGCTGAAAAGAGAGATGTGAGTCGACCAAGACACTCAAATATTTATAGGAATCAACAAACTCAATGAGGACACGATTTGAGGATGAAATCAAGAGGAAGAACTGCTGGGACCAACTTCCTATTTGAAAAAAGCATCCCTTTGGTTTTGTCGGCATTTAGGACAAGTTTGAGGTGGAACAAATCAGTCTGGATGATGTTGAATGCAGATTTCAAAAGCTGGAAAGCCTTAGCAACAGTTTTAGCTCGACAATAAACAACTGTGTCATCAGCATAAAAATGTATGGATGCATTAGGGATGTTGTTACCAACATTATGTATGTAGATTGTAAAGAGGGTGGGTCCTAAGACTGAGCCTTGTGGTACACCATTGTTGACTGTTAAATAACTGGAGGAAGTACCATTATATTGAACACATTGCCTCCGATCTGAGAGATAGTCAGAGAACCAACCAATGGTGTGATCTGAGAAACTGATTTCTGAGAGTTTATGACACAAGATGTTATGATCTAGTGAGCCCAGCTCACTGTAAACACTACATAACTCCATCAGGAAACTGGAGCAGTTCTGGCACTGACCTTGCTGTGCAGAGTGACTGATTACAACAGCAGCAGAGCGAACCTCAGCAGGAATGGCGCCTGTGCTGCCAGGAACAGGAGGTACTGTGGCACACAGGTTGATCAGCCCACTACCTGTGGACGACACTGGATCCTTGCTGCCAGGCGCCCCTCCCCGCCGCCTGGCCATGCCATCCGGAATAGGAACAATCGGTGTGACAACTTCAGCCGGTGTCCAGTTCAAGTTGGTGCCCTCCTTCTCTGTGGCAGAGTCGTCGTCGGAGTCGTCAAACATCCGCTCGCTGCGGCGCTCGGGTTTTCTAGGAGAGGTTGGCGAAACAGAGTTGAATCGTTTGGGTCCAGGTCGTCTGCGAGGACTTGACTCCTCCTCGGATGAGCCCCCGCTGGATAGATCTGAACGAGAGTGCATGTCACAGGACTCTGCTTCGCTCTCCTCTTCTTCAGGCTCCACATATGTGAGTCTGGGATGATAAAGACCCTCATCCTTTCTGGTTTTATCTGTAAAAATAAAATCAACCAAATAAAAACATCACAGTGATGCACCTATTCTGGATGACAGCAATAACGCCTTAAAAAAGGAAGCATTTGATCATCTCAGGTACACCTCTGTAACTGATTTAAACAGCATGAAATATTCTGTTTAAGCAGCTACATTCATGTGCAGATTAATCTCACTCCCCTCGCAACTGAAGGTCATTAGGACGGACGGACGGATGGATAGATACACACCGTCTACGTTGGAGTTATAGCCCCCCCTGGTGGAAAGTCCATGAGCCGCCAATGCATAAACCATTATTTGGCTGAGATATGACTGTTTTCATTCATTCTGACTGAAAATATTGAACACTAACATTTTCAGCTGCTAGATGGCAATCAGGCAGTATGGCATGCCTTTGTGTCATGTAATAGGTACAAGTGACTATTAATGACACAATCAGCTTGCCTTAGCCTGCCACCTTCGTCCAGCTTGCCTGGAGCAACTGTTGAATCAGCTTCATTTCGCTGCACCGCCCCAGTGAAATGCAGCTGATTTCACCATTGAAGAGCATTTATTAAGTAAAAGTTCAACTGAGTCACACTTTTACTATAATGTTGAAGAAACAAATAATTGTTTTTAGGTGCTTATCTTGATACATCTTGAAGAAATGCACAGCGACTCGTCCCTCTGCGTGCTTTCGCCTGTCGGCTGTTGGAAAACAGCTGATTTGACGGTCAAAGTGCATTTATTAAGCAAACGTTACACTGAGACACACCTTTAATATAATTTAGAGCAAACAAATAATTGTTTTTAAGTGTTCATCTTGTTAAAGTCTTGTTAAAGTCCTCCCGTGCATGCTCCCGTGGCCGTCATTTGGCAGCCAATCGATTTTTGGCACAGCACCGGCCCACATTTTCAGGTGTTCAGCGGTGACACGTAATAGATACGACTTATATGGCAAAGCGAGGTATTTATGGACTTGTCCTCTTTATTAGACATATTTTGGAGTGATGTGACTTACAGGGCGGTGCAGCATGTACGGCAGAAACTACAGCAACCATTAGCTGCACATCTCGAACTGATGAAGCAATGTAAGCAATAACTGCGCAGAGTGTTGAAGCTTTAATCAAATGTAGTTGTAAAGAAAGACGAGGTCTTCTAAACTTTACAGACACCCTGATGAGTTTGTCACATGAATCCACAAACAGTCATTTATTCATGTACAAATTGAGTTAGAAGCTAAAAAATTGAAATCCAAAACTATTAAAAGTGACTTGTGTCAACTTTGATGTTTTTAAAGCCCCACATGTCAGCGGGGGTTCAGACACTGCTTCCAAAGATACGAGCGGTACGACCACGTCCCCCATCGCCAGCAGATTTGAGTAGTGAATGTTTGTAGTTTTCAGAATGAGTGTTTTTCTGGGCGGGAACTGAACAGGGAATGTACGTAAACCTAAATGTTTTCGGTGCAAGATATTCACATGGGTAGGAGTTACACTGAGGAGAAGGACAGAGGGAGGTTTTTCTTTGTTATGCCTGAGGTGGAGCACAGTGATGGATCGTGGTGGGTGGAGGGAGACGTTTCATGCACCACCAGGAGCGATGGAGGAGCAAGGGGGTGGCTGTTGTGGAGGCGGAGCAAAGTGACGTTACCTTTAACAGAATCTGTTATCCAGTCTGGAGTGACAAGCTTGATGTTTGGGTGTTTCAGGGCACACTCAAACTTCACCTGAAAACACAAGCAAAGCACAAAAACAAGGACGTTGAGGGAGAGCTGAAAACTTGGTTCAGCTCCGGTCAGTTGAGCACGTTCTCAGGACCAGTACAACCACAGCAAGACTTATTCTACGGTCTTCTTTCTTACTCATTCTTCAATAACTTTTTCATAATCACTATGAAAATATTGATTAAAAAATAATTATTGTTATCTTCCTATAATCCTTTCTGGGTGGAGTTGTCATGTTCTCTCCGTGCTGGGGGGGGGGGGGAGTTCTCCAGGTACTCCAGTTTCCTCCCACAGACCAAGAACATGCATGTTAGACTGATGGTAACTCTAAATTGTCCCTAGGTGTGAGTGAGAGAGTGAATGGTTGTTTGTCTCGTTTGTCTCTATGTGTCCCTGTGATGGACTGGAGACCTGTCCAGGTGTCCCCCGCCCCTCGCACAGTGATTGCTGGACACCGGCGACCCCCGTGATCCAAAATGGAAGAAGCGGGTAAAAGTTGATGGATGGATCTTCCTATAGTTAGGCAGCCCTAACTTGTTACGTGAGTTCTTCAGCAACGAGAAGAGAAACAAACAGAATGAGGATGTGCATGCCAGGCAGAACATGTACCTACCCCCTTTGGTTCCTTAACCACCAAGTGGGTGACCTTCTTGTTGAGGTTCAGCTGACATTCTCCGCCATGGAACGTTACAAAAGCCCACAGAGCGTTGAGATCATCCGGAAGCTGAAATTCATCCAACTATAAATAAAAACAAACGCTGACAACCAGTGAAAGTATCAATGGTTTTTTCACACTTACTCTGGGAAGACAAGCCGTCACACCGAAAAAGATCTGCCCCGATTCTGGAGAGAAGCCCGTGACGCTGCAGTTCCCACAGTTACAGAAGAACAACATGGAGAGGCAGACCTGCCTCCAAAACCTGCTTTCATTTCACACATGTTCCATACGAACACCAAAATGCTCAAAATTAAATACACAAACAAATAAAGCATTATGAAATAAGTATTGAAGCTCATGATTATGAAAAAAATCATTTGTATTCTTTTATTTCAAAATTGTGTTTTCATGATATTTATTTCATAATTCCACTTTTCAGCAGAATGACTGCAGCTGTCAGTCAACGTCAGTGGGTTGGACCTGCACGCCCACTGGCTCATCCTTCACGTGCGTTACTTTACCTGACTACCTGCTCACTGCTATACCTAGCATAGCGGCTAGCATAGCCGCTAGCATAGCAGCTAGCGTAGCAGCTAGCGTAGCAGCTAGCGTAGCCGCTAGCGTAGCAGCTAGCGTAGCAGCTAGCAGTGACTTGCTGGTCAACAGTCGTGAAGGATGCAGAGAAAAATGAACTTGGTTCAGCTCAGGTAACTTTAGCAGATCAGACTGAGAGGACGATGTTCTCAGAAGATACAGGTGACGTGACAAATCCTGATGGACTGCCAAAAATCGATCGGCGCCGCAGGAGCGCGCACGGGAGAACTGGCTGCTTTACTTCTTTAGATTTAACAAGGTGAGCAGTAGCTGCAGTGAGCAGGTAGTCAGGTAAAGTAACGCACGTGAAGGATGAGCCAGTGGGCGTGCAGGTCCAACCCACTGACGTTGACTGACAGCTGCAGTCATTCTGCTGAAAAGTGGAATTATGAAATAAATATCATGAAAACACAATTTTGAAATAAAAGAATACAAATGAAATTTGTATCATTTCATAATGTTTTCTTTATGTATTTAATTTTGAGCATTTTGGTGTTGCACAGTCAAAGTAACATTTTGATCTCCTGCCCAGCTTGTCATGCTGTCGTGACAGAGGAAGGATACGGTAAAAGATCTCCACATCGGACAGACAGGACCACCCAAGAAGGCTGCAAAGAAACAAGAGGCAAGTCAATGCTTGGGTTTCTTCAAGATGACTTTAGTTCATTGAACGAGCGTAACAATAACATGAGGATGTATTGTCACACGTCTTCACCTTCTTTACCAATGGTAACCGTCTCCTGCTGTTATACCAGGAGACGGTGTTAGGGACTGTGGTGTGAGGAAAAGAAGCAGGTATTTTGCCAGCCCATTGCTGAAATGAACTTTGAGGTTCTGATGAATGATGACTGTGCAAACTGGAAAACATGATCCAATGACACACTGCTTAACGTTGCTGAGCAACGTGTAAACATGGAGCCCTTACCTTGACAACAGGCAGGTCAAAAACTTCTCTGGACTCGCCCACCTCAGGGTTGTCTCCATCCTCTGCGATGATGTGAGTGGCCAAAGCATTGTAGGACACCTCCTTCCCCTTCCCTGCTTTCAGGAGCTGCACCACCTGGAACATCAGGACAGGACTCAGACCTGATCCAGTCTCAGAGGATGAAGCACAACTCAAGTTTTCACCTTATAAGTTGCTTCTTTTTTTTTTTAACATAATTTGAACGCCCTGTGGCGTATATGCTGAAGATACACATTCATCAGTCAGGCCCTATTTACACGGACACGATGGGGGGGAAACGTAGGTTTTTTTGTATGTTAATTAGAGGAAAAGATTTGCGTTGACACGGTCGCATTTTGGGTTTACATACATCTGGAAGATTCCCCCCAGCCCTCCCGAATCCGCTGTAGTTCCCATGCCGGGTCGTTAGATGGCGCTGTGAATTTTGTACCTTCACCTAAAGCGCATGCTGCTGCCTCGGCAAGTTGTTTTCCTCTGTGCTAACCAGCTAACAACAACGTAACAACAAGTTAAAGCTGGATTCTGGCTAAGAGTCGACAGATTTGATGCCAAGCGGGACCGCTTCATCTAACAGCTCCACACCGGTCGCTGAGTGGACCAGAACCGAGTCAATGTCGGACTTTACTCCGTGATCATCAGTAGCTGATTTACAGCAGGTCAGAGTCAGACATTCTTTATTGTCGTTCCACCTCATGTGGTGGAACGACAATATGTACCCAGGGTCCCAGTTACATCCAACAATAAAATGTAAAATAAAAACAATGATAACATCTAAGATATGAACTAAGAAAAACATCAACTAAAAATACACTAAGTGCAGATAGCATAAAAACATTAGGTCAAACAGCAGCACGAACATGAGTCTGTGTGAGTAGATGAGCATGAATGAACACATCAACATTGAAACAGATCAGCAGCAACATGAAACTGATCAGCAGCAACATGATATGGTTTTTCACAGTGATTATTCTGGTTAGAGATTCATGAGTCCAACAGCCTCAGGGTAGAAGCTGTTCCTCAGTCTAGTGGTTCTACACTTAATGCTCCTTAACCTCCTTCCTGAGGGGAGAGGGGCAAAAAGTGTGTGTGCTGGGTGAGTGGGGTCCTTCATGATGCAGGTGGCCCTCTTCCTGCATCTGGAGGTGTAGATGTCTGTGATGGTGGGGAGGCTGACTCCAACATCTTCTGTGCAGCCTTCACCACTCTCTGCAAAGCTTTTCTTTCTGCAGCTGTGCAGCCTCCATGCCACACGTTGATGCTGGAGCACAGGATGCTCTCCACTGCACACCTGTAGAAGGAGGTGAGGACTGAGCTTCCAGACCAGCTCGTCTCAGCTGCCTGAGGAAGTAGAGTCTCTGATGAGCTTTCTTGATCAGGCTGGTGGTGTTGTTGCTCCAGCTGAGGTTGATGTTCAGGTGCACACCCAAGTACTTGTAGCTGGAGACCACTTCCACTGCAGATCCTCTTGTTCAGGGGGGTGTAGGTGTGTTTGTTCCTTCTGCCCGTTGGTGCGCTTCTGCTGCAGCTTCCAGGCAGATGACTTTAAGATCTTCATTCTGCCAAGCGTAGTTTTGAGTTCATTGCTGATATCTGCTATATTTCGTGGCAAATCCGCTCCTATTCTCATCAGTTCGGTTCGGCTACAGTTCACACACACAAAGCGTGCAGGGTCAGGCACAGAGTCAATATCAAAACTTCTAAAAACTGGGATCGTACCGGGAGCCTGTGAAGCTGCAACTGCTCTGAGCGCGGCCATCTTGGCATCATTTGCTATAAAGTCGAGCAAACAATTGTTTTAGGTGGTTATCTTGTTAAATTTTGAAGAAATGTGTGACTCGTCCCTCTGCGCACTCCTGCAAATCAGGTTTTGAAATGCAGCTGATTTGACTGTCAAAGTGCATTTATTAAGCAAAGTTAGACAGACACCCCTTTATCATAATTTCAAGCAAAAAAATTGTTTTTAAGAGTTAAACTTGTTAAATACTTATTAAAGTCCTCCCGTGCACGCTCCTGTGGCCACCATTTGGCAGCCAATTGATTTTTGGCACACCACCGGCCCACATTTCCGTGCTGTCAGCGGTGACACGTAAGAGTGCAGAACAAAATTAGATTTTTTAAAGAATCTAGATTCTTAGTTCTGGCGATTCTGCATCGATTCTACAGGCCTGTAAATCGATTTTAAAATGCGTTTAATTTTTTTTTCTGCTCCTCTTCCCGAACGTACTGCATATAGCATTACGTGTCTGCTCAGTCGCCACAGAATTTTGGCCATGTAGGCCACCGTACAGCAGCTAGTTAGCCAGCTCCCTTTATCTGAATGGAGCCTGCTAGCATGGAGGGAGACAGCGAGATTCAACCCGCTGCTGCTTCTTTAAAAATCATTTCAGATCCTACAATGTTCCAGGAGAAGGCAGAGCTTCACAAGACCACATTTGTTTACAAGAAGTGTAAAATAAAATTGCGTTACAGTATTTTGGAAATACGACAAAATTCACAGAAGATGAAAGTGAAGCAGCCGACCAGCGAACTCTGAAACAAACTTCCAGCTGATTCTCCAAAGGCTGTGAAGAGTTCCCTCTCCATCTCCTGCTGCATCACAAAGGATTTATGAGCAGACAGCTCAGTGAAGGTGACGGGGTCAGGTTTATTTTAATACATACGTTATTCCTTCACTCAGTTTTGTTTTACAATAAAGCAGCTCCACAACTTCTCCATGAAACCACAGATGGGAGAAGCTCTGATGCAGAGCCGAGCTAACCGTTCTTCCTCATATTATATTAAAACTTATAGACAAGTAGTACAACAAACTTAATGTAATTTGTCTTTTTAACAGGTTGAAGAGGACATCACCTGGAGCCAGTTCTAAATGATACAGTTTATGGTTTATAAATCCTATCCTTTATTTAACTAAGCACATCCTATGGAGATCACAGATCTTTTTTGCAAGAGAACATACAGTATCATGCATTTTTGGACTGTTGGAGGAAACCAGGGCACCTGCAGAAAACCTAAACTTGAGGGGAACATGCAAACTCTACACAGAAAGACCCTAGGTCCAAACCAGGGATTGAACTCAGGACCTTCATGCTGTGAGGCAACAGTGCTAACCAGGGCTTAATTTGAGCCTGATCCTGCCAGAACAGGATCCAGGAACTGTCTTGTTTTGACAGGGTATGTTCCGGTAACTGTTTGCTTGGATCTGGTAACTCTTGGGCTAAAAAAGTTATGAACTTTGTTCATATGAATTAAATTCATGAATTAAAGTTATGAACAAATATGACTGCAATGAACAAATAAAACTTAAATTGGATACGTAATCTGGAAATAATTACATAAACACTCATTTTAAACACAACAGCCACTTAAGAGCTTCTTAACATCACATGTGATCTGTCGCTTCAAGTTTAAGTTCAAGTAGGTTTATTGTTGTTCTCACCACGTGGTACAAGAGGTGGAACGAAATTATGTACACAGGGTCCCAGTTACACCCAACAATAGCAAAGATATAAAGTGTAAAAATAAACAGTATTGACCCTTTACAATTACATCACATACGTCAGCAAATTCATATCGAGACACCATGACGGATGTCTGAAGTGAAGGACGGCTGCGGTGAAAGGAGCGACAGCGATAATTTTCCTAGCTTGTTTTTGCCATGGCTTCCTGTTCTACTACGTGTTCTAGTCGAGCTAAGTTATCTGTGGAAGTAAAAAGCTGTATTTACCGTTACATTTTTTTTGTTGAAAACTGTGTGTAAATGGTGTTTTCTTCAACAGCTAAATAGCGAAGCTAGCGACCGTAGTTAGCATGTAGCTTTGTGTAGCTTCTCATCACAATAGGTATTGGGATATGAATATTATGTCATATTGTACATCCCAGTCAAATGCAGTACAGTAGGGATGTAAGACTGGCCGGCAAAAAAAAAAAAGCTATTACAGCCAGCAAAAACAGCAGACGTAGTTAGCGTGTAGCTTCACGCTAATTGAACGGAGTTGGTCCAACTCACTCTACTAGGTTGGGCGAGCCACGGGGTGAGATAAGGGTGTGGCTCCCAGATGGAGGTCGTTAACAAATGTGGGTGAGTCACCTTCAACACAGCCTAAGCAGGACTAACCTAAAGATTACTCTGGGTAATACTCAGGTGTTTAGACTTACTTCTTTATACCCCTTAGAGGAGAGGCTGCAGTGGGTTTAGCCATGACTCAGGTGGTAGCTCCACTGGGTAGATCGATAGTGTCTGACACAAACATTCAAAACTTGAAATTTACAGATAAAAGCAAAGGATAATGATGTGTGGGGGAGAGTATAACAATTATTTTTTGTTCTTTGTCAGATGGGGATGAGAAAACAGCCAGCCAGACATATGAAGCCATTGCTGGACCGCAGCATCAGGACCGGAGAGTTTGTGACTCCAGACTAGGGCTGAAACGATTCCTGGAATCATTCCAGGACCTCGATTATAAAGAATCCTCGAGGCAAATGTATCAGCCTCTAAGCTTCATTAAACTATTCAGAGCACTGTGGTCTAGACAGAAGGTTTTTGTGTTACACAACGCTAGCGCTTCTGCTAACGCGTATGTGCTAACTTTGTAGCTATGGAGGGAAGGGAGACTGCCTAGAAGAAGAGCCCCGGAAACAACAAAAACCGTGTAAAGTTGGGAACATGTTAGACTTTTTTAACGTGTGCGCACATGCACGTGCACGCACCTACACACATCATTGTGTCCCCCCCACATTACGGATGCTTCTGACGCCATTGGTAACAGGTATCATGCTCTCTTTGTAAAGTACGTTAAACTAAATGTGTGATCATCTGTCATGTTATAAATGTAAAATGAGACATATTGTTGCTAATGTTAAATCTACTGACTGATCATAGTGGCTTCCTGGCAGAGTCTGAACGTTGTGTGAGGAAAAACTGCAGGACTTGATGAAAGTTTGTTAAAGATCAAAGCAGCAACAAACTGACACATTTATTTATTGATGAACTTCCATCCTGACTTAATGAGATACTTAGGGTGAATATTTCAAGTGTAAATGTTTTTAAACGAGTTAGTAGGATTTTTTTCTTCTACTGCTGTTTATGACTGAAAACTGATTAATCTGCATTTATTACTACGGTCATATTTGTTTATAGCTCAGCAATCAAGACTAAATAATAATACAGTCTGCAGAACTCAATGTACAAACTGTACATTATCTATCTTACTCAGTTTATAACATAAAGTCTCCATTCAGTTTCCAATCCATAAAAATTATTTACAGCATTTAAATTTTTATGTGATGGTTCAAAATAATTCAACTTAAGCAATAAACTATTTTAAAAAGAGGAATTAAATTGGTTGTTTATTGAAAGTGTTTTTTCCTGTATTTGTATCACTCATAAAGTGAGTGTGGTAGTTACTGCAGAAACTGACAAATGTTGTTTTCCATTCCCGATAAATCGTCAGAATAATCTATAGATTACCCGAATACTAAAATATTCAAGTAATTGAAAACAACATTTGTCAGTTTCTGCAGTAACTACCGTCCTCATTTTATATAAATGCTAGGCTGCTAATGCTGCGTGTGCTGGAAGTCTATGCAACAATAAATAGCGCCGTGCTGAAACACGCTTAGAAACTTTAGTTCCGCGGCGCATAATCTCTCGTTAATGAAATTTAATGAGTGAAAAAATAACCGAAACAGTACACACGTGTACTGAACCAAACATGCCGTACCAAAACTGTTTGGTACACCCACGTGTACGTTACACCAACGTTACACCACCAGTCAAACATGCACGTTTCTCTTTAGTGGGAGGAAACTGAAGTACCTGGAAAAACCCACCAGGAAACAAAGAGAACATGTAAAAATCATACATAAAGGAGCCAGGGAGGCAAACCCATGACCTTCTTAGAGTGAGGCGACAGAACTAACCACTGCTCAACTGTCCTGCCAAAACCAATCCCTTTACAAACGGACTGACTTATGTACACCTAATCTAAGGCCTGCACTGGACGCTTTACAAATTATGTTCATTTCAAAGTTTTGCTGCATTTTTATTTAACTTTGTAAATAATTAGGACAACTGTTAGATTTGCCCCGTTTATATTTTCATTCAACCTTTATTTCTACAGGTTAGTCTCACTGAGCCTTGAGGACTCGTGTACAACACAGACCTGTTTACACGACATTCACGACCCTTATAATAAACTAGAATTCAGGTAAAAACCAGGTGTTTTCCTTGGGGAGGTGTCTTAATGTGACGGTGTCTTAATGTGACGGTGTCTTAATGTGACGGTGTCTTAATGTGACGTTGTCATAACGTGACGGTGTCTTAACGTGACGGTGTCTTAACGTGACGGTGTCTTAACGTGACGGTGTCTTAATGTGACGGTGTCTTAATGTGACGTGTCTTAATGTGACGGTGTCATAATGTGACGGTGTCTTAACGTGACGGTGTCTTAACGTGACGGTGTCTTAATGTGACGGTGTCATAATGTGACGGTGTCATAATGTGACGGTGTCTTAATGTGACGGTGTCAAAATGTGATGGTGTCATAATGTGACGGTGTCATAATGTGACGGTGTCATAATGTGACGGTGTCATAATGTGACGTGTCTTAATGTGACGGTGTCTTAATGTGACGGTGTCTTAATGTGACGTGTCTTAATGTGACGGTGTCTTAATGTGACGGTGTCTTAATGTGACGTGTCTTAATGTGACGTGTCTTAATGTGACGTGTCTTAATGTGACGTATCATAACGTGACGTGTCTTAAGGTGACGTATCATAACGTGACGGTGTCTTAACGTGACGGTGTCTTAACGTGACGGTGTCTTAACGTGACGGTGTCTTAACGTGACGGTGTCTTAACGTGACGGTGTC